GTTATTTCCAGTGTTATTGAATTGAGCAACTTGAGCAGAAGCAGTTTCTGAGGTATCTGTAGTAGTAGAATGAGCATTTGGAGTTGAGATTTCCAGAAGAGCAACATTCGCAGATAATAAGTTCTGTTGAGATGAATCGCGAAGTTTCAGTAGTCGTGTTTCTTTAGCAGATAAGAGAGACTCAACTTCAGACAAGGTTGGTGGATCAAGTATACTGCGAGAAGATATTGATGAAGCGAGAGATTCGTACTCTTCAGGTAAGCCTTCAAGGATTACATTGATGTGATCCTTGGACGAAATTGGTTCTCCAATTGAAAGCAGATTGTCAGCAATAGTTCGGAAATGGAGCGATTACCTTTCGCAGTATTATATAGCTCAAATTTGAGCTGTCTGGCCTTCGCTCTGATGCTTGATTGAAAGAAGGTGGTGATTTCACTCCAGAGCTCATGAGAATGTTTGGAATGGATCACACGAGCGTGAAGCGCTTCTGAGAGCGAAGCGAGTAACCATGAAAACAACAACTGATCTTGTTGCTCCCAAGTAGCATATCCTTCGTTGACAATTCCTGCTGTTTCATCATCATCAGAGAGAAATTGTTTTGGAATCACTGGTTTAACGATGAATCGAAGCAACTTATGCGCTCGGACTACCGATTCAACATGGTGTTTCCAGTGTTGGCATCAAGTTTGAGTGGAAGCGGATGTGCGAAAGTCACCATAGACGTTGAATTTGTAGGATTTGCAGAAGTTGAGGAATTTGATACACTTTCTGAGATCGCCATTAATGGATCGAGCTAAAGCTCTGATACCATAATAGAAAGAGAGAGAATATTAAGATGAGCTAACAGAAAGATCGTATTGAGAACTGAATAGGGTTACAGGGTATTTATAGAGTTAGTTGAGTCAAACTGACTTAACAACTAACCGAGATACTAGCTAACTATATACAGTAGACTATTACATCATAAAGTTTCTAGTCTATTACAAAGGTATATAGCTAACAATGACTTTTATTACTTGCACACGACACACATAAAGAATTATTCTTAATAATATGTTTAGATGAAATACCTAAGGATGAAAGAATTTTTTGAGTAATAGGAAAGGCAGGGTGTCCTAGACGACAATGCCAATTATTCATAGAAAAGTTCCTAGCAACATTAACACACGGAGGCGGGGGAGTGGGCACTTCAGGAAGGCTGTAGACATCACCGTTATCCATACCCCGTAACAAAATTGCTCCAGTTTGCCGGTCTTTAACAAGACAAAAAGAAGGATGAAATTCAATTAGTACATCATTATCACGACATAATTTAGCTACAGAAATTAAATTTGTATGAATAGACAGAACAAAGAGGGTATTAGGTAGAGAGAGAGAGTGTGAAGGCTCATATTCCCAACTTGTGCAATTGCAAGATCTTTACCATTCCCGATAATGAGAGAATCAGTGCCATTGTAGTCGGATGCCAAACTCAAGTTATTCAGACTATTGGTGACATGGTTGGTTGCCCCAGAGTCAAGTAACCACCCATTTCTGCTTGTTGTGGCGGTATTAGCCTGAGGAGGGTAGGCTAATACCACAAATTGTTCAAAACGGTGCCAACAGTTGAGAGCAAGATGATTTGGTTTACCACAAATTTGGCATGTAATATTACAAGAATTGTTACTCCCGGGATTATTGCATCCACCCATGTGGTTTTGACTCCCCCCAAAATTGTTGACTCCAAGTCTGTTCGGGTTGACTGAATTATTGGGCCGCTGGGTTCGAGCCTGATTCCAATTATGAGTGCGATTTGGATTATAGGTCCGGGCAGCTGGAGTTTGAGTTGTACTTGGCCATGGCTCAATATAGAAGGGCTTTCTGGAGTGCTGGTCGTCCGTCGAGTCAAGAGTCCAAGTGGAGCACATTCTGCGACCATCGTATTTGCTGTCACAACAACAACAGAAGAAGAAGACATATTAATAAATTCTTTCCGTTGAAGTTTTTCTTCAAAACCGACGAGCAGGCCATACACCGTCTCAAACTTAGCGGCGCCTAGGGTTCGGATGGAGTTCTCCATCGATTCAAATTCCGGACGAAGTCCCTCCGGTACTTGCAGAAGAAAATCTTCGTCATCCAACGGTCTTCCTGCCCGAGCCAGTTCATCCGCCAGAGTTTTGAGATGATGCAGATATTTACCGATGGCCTGAGACCCTTGCTTCGTATGACGAAACTGATCTTTAAGGTTTCGGATAGTAGATGCGGACATGATTCCATAAAGGCGTTCCAATGTTTTCCAGACAGCAGCAGAAGTACGAGCATAGCTTATCAAGGGTTTGCAAGCCGTGCTAAAGGAAGAGACCAGTGCGTGGCGTAGAAGCCGATCGTGTCTGATCCAGATAAGGTGACCGACAATATCACTCGGTGGGGGTGGGGTAGCATCTTCGTCAAGATATTGATTTAAGTGTGAATTGAAGAGAAGATCAAGGACTTGGTCTCGCCAAATCAGGTAATTCGACCAATCTAATTTTTCTGGGAATTGGCTAGGGTTGCGCATGATCAGTCCTTCGGGTGTTACTTCGGGTGTTACTGTGTTGTTGAGAGAGGCAGGGACGATGTTTGAGGTGGGTATGGATCGGCTAGTGTTTAGGGTGGGTATAGAGTCATTGGTGAGAGGGTTTTCCAGTTCTGGGCGTGTGGCTATGTTTCCGCCACCAGCCATGGAGGAAGGGCTGGTAAAAGCTCTATGGCTCTGATACCATAAAGGAATATACGAAAGGAGTTTTTCAGAACTGAATTGGATGATTATTCCATTAGTCTATAATGGTATTTATTCATACAGAGAGCTATTCTATAAGGAAATATTCTAATATGATTACTCTAATAAATACAAATATATTTGCCCTTAATTAGAATAGTAACGGTAGAAAATATCTTATTTCCTTTGAGAAGGATCATGGGATTTGTTTCCTTCTATAAATAAGTCATATTTTGGGAATAAAAACATTGATAGTCCTATTTATGAACTTTATTCATGTTTTAGTCATATTTAGTGAATTTTCTCTTAGTTAAAAGGTGTGAGTAGCTCCTATGGAAGATAAGATGCAAGAGTCTCGATTGCGGTGGTTTGGTCATGTGCGTAGAAGATCGAGTGATGCACCTATAAGACGAGTTGAGAGGTGGGGAGAAGAGTCAGGTAGGAGGGGGAGGGGAAGACCTAAACAAACTTGGATTAGAGGAATGAGAACTGATATGCTTCTTCTTGGGTTGGATGAGAGTATGGCTTTGGAGAGAGCAAAGTGGAGGGTGCATATGCGTGTGGACGATTGATCTCCTCTTCCTTTATCTCTTTTATCTTTTATTTATCTTGTGTTCTTATGTTATTTTTATCTTATTTTTCTTATCTTTCTTCTCTTTTTTGCTTTGATATCATGGATTGATTCATGTTAGCCGACCCCAAAATCTTTTTGGGATTAAGGCTTGAATGTTGTTGTTGTTGGGCTCTCTCCAGAAGAGTTGGAAAATATCTCTTTATTTACTGAAGGCAATTCTGGTCATGTATACTCCTCTCCACATGTGGTCTCCAGTTAATTTTGGCCATGTGATCGGCTACTCAGCCGCCGCCAGCTGCTGCTGACTGCCGTCTCCAGTAAACTTTACCGGCATATAAGGTCACTGTATTCCATCTTAGTTTTAGGTGAACTTTTGCTGCAACTTTCCCTCCAAAATAATCTTTTTTTGTTAAACCATGTGATCTCGGCTTCATTTCGTTAGACTAATACTGTGCTCCCCAAAACCCACCCCAAACCCTTCAGAGAAGTAAATTTGAGTCGCTCGAACAACCCACTAGGTTCCCAACACCTATTTATACACCACTGTACACAAGAAACCTGTCTTAACTGATTGATCTCATGTCTCCTTAGGTTCCTAGCACAGCTCCAAGGAAACTGCCACCGATTGGTCAAACACTGTCTGTTCCTAGCTTGAGGGGATATATAGGACAGATTTGCGACCACTCAAGCTAGCCTGGGGGGCTAGAGGATCATCATTTTAGAAGAGCCCCCTAATTAACTTGGTGACTTGTATCCATGACCTACTACATGTGGAGGATCTCAAGTGTGGGAATTGATCCACTCTGACCGCTCCCACTTTTCCTAAAATCCTTTCTTTTAGTACATGTGGCTGTTTGAGCAACTTCTATTCTCTATGATCGAAGCCTTTGTCCCAGATTCCAAGATTTCCCTCAAGCGCAGTGTATTGCTGCGGTTTGCAATTTCCAACCAAAGGTTTCAGATGTGGTGTCGCCTTTTTCCCAATCTTGGATCTTTATCATTGAGAATAAACAGTCAATTTATGCTATTTCACATTACCAATATTTCACTGTAACAAGCTTAGAACCTTTAGTAAGCTTCAGCCTGATAGGGAGTATTGAATATTATAATAGTGTGTAATGTCTAGTTTGTCCATTTACTTTTCCTATAAATAGGTTGTAAGATATCATCAACATCAACGTAATCACAAAACTCTTCTCTATCTTCACAGTTTGTAACCTGGCGTTTGGGGAAGATCATATGCAGATGCATTACTATTAAAAACATTAATTTTGTTGATTGGTTGATTGGTTCATATTTTAACAAGCCACAAAGAGCTTCTAAAATTGAATATAGATTAACAAGCTCAGGACAAATGATTTATATGCTCTAGCTTGGGCAGGAGTGTAGGATGTGTCTTATTATGCACTTGCACACACACATATGTATATGTATATGTATACACTCCTTGTACATGATACATTCTTAACAAACAATAATACAATACCACATTATTGTTCATGACTTCATGGGAAAAATCCCTGTTGACATGATGGCGATAGGTGGCAGCCTTTAATTTGTCTTTTCACTTTTTTTAAGATTGTTTTTCAATTTTCACCTTGTAGATAATCTAAAATACCCTGTTGTATAAGTTTTTACTTACACTTAATATTGAGCTGACATGTGTCTGCAACTTTAAATTCCAAACAGATTAATTTACTTGATTCTAAGGAGCTTCAACAAAAAGTGAAACTGTACCTTGTAAATCGCGGCCCACCAGAGAATTGGGCACAAACTGTACCTTTCAAGCGTGCTGACTTGCAGAAAGCTCTTGGAAGTCATCTCTCTTGGAAGGAGAGGTATTGTCATGAGGCTAAGACATGCTTTTTAAAAATAGATCCTCCATTTTATTGTTACATATTAGAGTTGTGCGCGTTGTGTGAATATATGTGTTTTCCAATGCGTGTGGAGTTGTGATATTTCTTGTATTATTTATTTATTTACTTTATTTATGGATGAATGTGTTTCCTAATTTGTGTTTATGAATGATTATGATGTGTTTGTTTGATTGTTTGATGCTTATTTTGACCATATAAGTATGTAATCCTTGAGCACTTGCTTTTTTTGTGCTGTCAGGTATCCAACATTCTTTGATGACATTGCGGCACGCTTGCTTCCAGTCATCCCCCTAATCATCTACAGATTTATTGAAAATGATGCTATGGATGCAGCTGATAGAATCCTGCAAATTTATGCTTCCTTTCTCCATTACTATCCTCTAAATTTTACATTTGTTCGTGATATTCTTGCATATTTTTACGGCCATCTTCCTGGGAAGCTAATACTCCGTATATTAAATGTGTTGGGTAAAAAGGTAATAATGAATTCTGTGATTGTTTTGGGTCATTCTTTGCTAGCTTCATTGTCACATCTGTGATTGTTTGGATTACACTTTCTCCCAGGTTCCATTTTCTGAGCCATTTCTTCAGCACATTAACTCAACTAATGCATCAATGTGCCCTCCATTGGATTACTTTGCCACCCTTTTATTGGGTTTGGTAAATCATGTTATTCCTCCTCTAATTAGCTCATCCAGATCTCCACAAGCGGGAGATGTCTCAAGCAGCTTTGGCCGTGCTCCACCTACCAAGGTACATTTAAGTTCTCAACCTGGATCAACAAATACTTGTGAAGGCCAGAAACCTTTTTACCAACTTCAAGACCCTGGGACGTACACCCAACTGGTGCTTGAAACAGCCGTAGTTGAGATACTCTCTTTTCCTGTTTCTGCATCCCAAATTGTTTCTTCACTCGTTCAAATTGTTCTTCATATACAACCAACACTTGTTCAATCAAGCAATGGCCTACATGGAACTCCTAGCAATGTTGGACAGAGCTCACTTTTGCCTACTTCTCCCTCTGGAGGGAGCACTGATTCACTTGGTGCTACCAGGGCAGCCTCTTCTGTTCCTGGTACAAATGCTTCTGTTTTTGTGTGGCGAACTGGTTATACATGCCAGCAGTTATCGTGCTTGTTGATCCAAGCATGCGGTCTTCTTTTAGCTCAACTCCCTCCAGAGTTTCATGTGCAACTATATTTAGAGGCTGCACGTGTGATAAAAGAGAGTTGGTGGCTCACTGATGGACAAAGGTCTGTTGGTGAACTAGAGTCTGCTCTTAGCTATGCACTTTTAGATCCCACATGGGCTGCCCAGGATAATACTTCAACAACCATTGGTATGTGGCCTTGTGAACCCTATATTGATTAACACTATGATACTTGGTTTACTATCGCTTCTCAAGGATGGACTTTTTCTTCCCCTTTCATGCTGTGAAGTTTGTATAAATTTGTTTTTGTCATTTTATACATGTTAATGTTAAATAGATATGAGCATGTCTATAATCAGAATTTGAAACGGCATTATGGTATGTGGACTTTAAAGTTTGTAGAAGAATGAATTATATTTCAGCTGAACTCGTATCTGTTAAAAGAAAAATTAACTGCATTTCGGCGATTTCCCAGGTATACTCAATGATAGCTCATGTGGGAAACTATTTCATGTACTTGTTTACTCTTCATGCATTTGTTTTTGTTAGTCATGTACTTGTTAACCGTCCATGTACTTGTTTACAGGTTCGACATAAGCTTTCCATCATTCATACTTTAAGTCACAAGACTTTGCGTGTTTTGCTTATCTAGAGTGATAGGGAGTAAAACGAAAGGGGGAAAGAAAGACAATATTTTATAAAACTAAAATGAAGAAAGAAACGTGTTGAAGGTAGAAAGAAAAGAACATGAAATACCCGAAGTATTCCCTAACAAGTCTAGCTTGCCAAACAGCCTACGGCTGCCCAACTCTAAAGGAGTCCTGATTCTACAAATCTCTCAATGCCTCCTAAGCTAAAGGAAGCCATATTTATAACCTATGACAATATTTAAATAAGGTAAAATATAATTAATAATCAATTATTCCTTATATCATGCTAAGCATGATCTATTGCTAGAATCTTTCATTTTAAAAAAATTGATTCATTATGATCCTTTGATTGATTCTCTGGTTTGCCTTGATTGGTTCTTTGATTTCTTCCCTTCTGTGGAGGGTTTCCTTGATTTTCTCTACCTCTACCATTGCCAGTGACTCCAAAATAATCTTGTCCCCAAGGCTGGAGGTCATTGATTGCCACAAAAGTTTAGATATCAATCAACAACAACTTCCAAGCCTTAATCCCAAAAGATTCTAAGGTCGGCTAACTTGAATCGGATATCAGAGCCAAAAAGAAACGAAATATAAGAAAGATAAACATGTAAAGTAAGATAAAAAGGATAAGATAAAGATAAAGATAAATATAAGATAAAGATAAAAATGATAAGATAAAAAGGATAAAACGAACATATATAAAACAAAAAGTCTAAAGGGATAAAGAACATAAGAAAGATAAAGAAGATAAAAAGATAAGAGAAAAGAGGGAAAAAAGAGAGAAGAGATCAATCCTCTGCACAAATATTCGCCCTCCACTTCATTCTCTCCAAAGTCATACTCTCATCCAACCCAAGAAGAAGCATATCACTCCCGATTCCTCTAATCCACGTATATTTGAGTCTTCCTCTCCCTTTCCTCCACGCCTCTTCTCACCTCCTCTCAAATCGTCTTTGATGGACATGACCAAATCACTGCAATCGAGACTCCAACATCTTACTCCCACCTTTTGTCGGATTATCTCATTCCTCAACGATCTGGTATGTCCGCACATCCAACACAATATGCACATCTCTGCCACACTCATCTTTTGAACGTGACATTGTTTCACCGTCCAACACTCTACGTACCTATGTTATAAAGTAATGCGGACCTAATTGTTATATGATAAATTTTACCTTTTAGTCTATTCGGCATATCTTGATCACATAGAAATCATAATGCACTCTTCCATTTCATCCACCCTACTATGATTTTATGGGATACATCTTCATCGAGTTCACCATCCTTTTAAATTGTGGAGTATAAGTAACGGAACATATCACAGATCAATATCTCCTTGCCATCAGGGGTAATCTCAGTGTAATCACTACTTCTACCTCCACCAAACTTGCATTCCATATGCTCAGTTTTGCTTTGACTCAGTGTGAAATCCTTGATCTCTAATATTTGTCTTCATACTTCCAACTTTGCTTTTACAATCAATTGTGTTTCATCAATCAATACTATATTGTCGGCAAATTCTTGGCACATTCTTCTACATCACTCTTATTCTTAAATAGGGCAATGAGAGTACTCTTCCGCTAACTCATTTCCATTTTGTTGTTTCTTCAAGCCTCGATCGGTATGCCATCTAGACTCACTACTTTCTTCCGTCCCATATTTCTCAGAACCTCTTTAATTTCTGTAATTTGAATCCTTCTCACAAAATCTTGATTTACCATACAATCTGGTATAGTAAGATAATCAATACCTTGCATTTCATTCCCGTTGAACAAGGTATCACTATCACCGCCACCTCTCTTTTTATTTTCCCGCTCTCCATTAGTATCCTTTGATCGACATCCTTCACACTTGACTTTTCTGATATCTCGAGTCCTATGATCACGAAGATGAGCAAGTCTGTAAATATATTTTTCTCCTTCCTTAGAGTCCAATTTTACATATAACTCTTTATTCACTTTCCCTCTTGCTTGCTTTATGACTTTCCTTGCTTTTCTTTTAGCCTCCTTGTTCACTTCCCTCTTGCTTCCTTTACAACTTTTTGTAGCATTCCCTTTTCTTTTTTATGGATTGTTTCACCTCATTATTCCACCAAGATGTGTGCTTTTTTGGTAGCAGACATCGTTTAGATTCTCCAAGTATTTCCTTCGTCACTTTGTTAATGATCCACTCCATTGATAACCGCACATCACCCACATATGCGTCATTATCAATACACCATACATCTTCCTCTAACATTTTGTGTGCAAAGCTTTGTTGGAGATCCTTTTGAGCTTCCACCACTTTATCTTTGACTCCACTTATTGTTTAACTAGTCTTCCTTGAAATCAAATACAAGCATCCTATGTTGAGTGACAACACACTCACTTGAGATAACCTTACAATTAGTGTAGTTTGTTCTCCAAGTAATTCGTAATAAGTAGTCAATTTGGGTACTATTACCTACACTTCTATAGGCCACACGGTGACAATCTTTTCTTGAATTAAATTTTCATTATAGCTAACTCATAAACAACAACAACAACATCCAAGCCTTAGTCCCAAAAGATTTTGGAGTCGGCTAACATGAACCGATACATGATATCATAATCAAAAGGAAAAGAAAGGTAAAAGGATAAGCTATAAGAAAAAGATAATATAAAAAGAGATGGACAATAATATATACTCCCTCCGTCCTATTGGACTTTGCCAACTTTCCTTTTTTGGTTGTCGCAAAAAACTTTGCCACTTTCCTATTAGAGCAACTAATTTGTGGTTCTGCACATTTCTCTCTCATCTGCACAAATCTCAACCACACAATTTTCACTATTTTTATTTCTCACCTACTTTGCACTGGGCAAAGTTCATCGGGATGGAGGTGGTGCATATATATATATACACACACACACACACACACACACACACACACACACACACACAGAATGAGGTTCAAATGAGAAAATGATCTTAGGAGAGAAATGAGAATAATCTGGATCGTTGAATTGTATTCTATAAAATTGAATGTGCATTAGGTAAAACTGAAATGTGCATTACGTGAAATTGAAATGTGTAACACAAAAGGTATGATAGAGTGGCACTATGTGAAGTTTAATTGTGCATTAGGTGAAACTGAAATGTGCATAATAAAAGGTATAACATTATGACATTTTTGGACGTTTCATAATGCACATTTCAATTTCGGCTAATGCATATTTGAGATTAACTTTTATTTTGCACATTTTAATTTCTCCTCATGCACATTTTAGTTTCACCAAATGCACATTCCAGTTTGACATAATTCAATCCAACGGTCTAGATTCATTCTCATTTCTCTCCTGGGAGTCTTTTCTCACTGGAACCACTCCTTATATATATATATATATATGTAGAGAGAGAGAGAGGTGCTACTGTCCAGCACTTCTCCGTCCGAACGCCGTTCGAACACCGCTGTTTGGGGCGGTTTCCGGTAGAATTTTTTGATGAATTTTTTTGAGCATGTTTTTTATCAAGTCTAGTTTATCCATACCAAATTTAAGCTCATATTTCGATCGGGAAGGCAGTCGAATAATTTGTTGAAGTTAACTGCGCCAAATTATACATAGAAAAATGCAGTTAACTTCAACAAATTATTTGACTGCTTTCCCGATCGAATTTTGAGCTGAAATTTGGTATGGATAAACTAGACTTGATGAGGAACATGCTCAAAAAATTTCATCAAAAAATTCCGGGAACCGCCCCAAACGGCGGTGTTTGGACGGCGTTCGGACAGGGGAGTGCTGGAGAGGATCATTTCTATATATATATATATATATATATATATATATATATATATATATATATATATATATATATATATATGTAGACACACACACATACACACTCTCTGATGAAACTTCATGTCAGGCCGGCCTGACCGAGGCAGCCGTTCGGCCGAGCCTGTTTGAGGGCCTTCCCGGTGGAATTTTTTGATGAAATTTCTTGAGCATCTTTTTCATCAAGTCTAGTTTACCCATACCAAGTTTCAGCTAAAAATTCAATCGGGAAGGCAGTCAAATGATTTTTTGAATATTACTGCACTTTTTTTATATATTAACTACACAGTGTTCTTAAATAATTTATTTGACTGTCTTTTCGATTGACACGAATACCCACCCTCCATTTTGCTCTCTCCAAAAACATACACCCTCCATTCGATTGACACGAATACCCCTTGGCAGTTGGCACTCGTCGCATCACTTCCTTAAGATTTTTCTAGAGCTGTTGAGTGATAGATGCATCCAATCCCACTTTGGTGCATGGACACTTATTACGAACATGATCTCACCACTATCATTAATTTAATACTCATGATATGGTTGTTCTTCCTAAAGACTTCCACCACACCCTCAACATAGTCATATGTCATAATAATGCATACTTCATTTCTAGTCTTCTCTCTCCCCTAACACCATAATTAAAAACCTCTGGGGTTGGTCTCACGTATCTTTTCTCGCCCACTTAGTTTCGTGCGCACACATAGTGCTGATTTTCCTCCTCCTTATAACCTCAATTGCCTCAAATGATCTCCCCGTAAGAGACCAAAGCACAATCTAGCACCCTACCTTCTATTCTTAACACCACATTGACCCCCACCATGCCCTTGCATATTTGACACCATCCCCAGGCATTGGAGTGGCACGCCGCTTTCGGGCAATGACCACACCAGGCCTATGAAGTGTAGCGTGCCCTTGCATATTTGACCACCCCAGGCGAAATGATGACACATCACTTACGAGCGACAATCTAGCTGTAGCGATTTTCATATTTTGGTTTATGTCATGTCATGTGACTAAGTGATACTGTTAGCCATCACGCGCCCGCCAGAACACCTCCTCCGTTATCCTTTATTGGGATAACAAAACAAAATCCAAGTTTCAAGGATGTTCAGAATGTACATCCGATGGTAGGTGTTAGTTGAGTCCCTATTCCTTCATACAGAAATGTTGGGCTTGTTGTGGAAGTGATAGAAACAGTGATATATTGCCTTCTAGAGGTTATGGTGATGGTGATGGGGGCGGTAACAATGACATTTGAAGTGATGATGAAGATGTGGTGTTGGAGGTGCCAATTTCAGTGAAAGAATAGTAGGTGAAGGAGGTGGAGTGACAGTGTAAAAAAATGGAATGAGTGGTGGTGGAGGTGGTGATATTGGTGTTGGCGGTGGAGGCTTTAACAGTGAATATCCGAAAGCAATCATTATGATTTCCACATTAGCAAATTCCGTACTTGAGGTACAACATCCAACATAGAGATCTTTTTGCGTGAAATGCATATTTATTTGGTTATCATTGCATCCAGAATGAAATCAAACCACATCATAACTCAAAAATTTAGCAAATCATCATTTAGTATTTGAAGGTATTGACTGGGTTTTGAGTCAAAAAGAGTTCGTATAAATCAGAATCACCTATGGAATGCTAGTATGCTACATAATGATGTATCGATACAAATAGAGTTCAATGTACCATTTATGTCCCCGGGCGGAAAAAATTGTTGAAAGCTGTTGCCGTTTTGACTGATTTTTTCTAGGCATGTTTTTGCCCTTCTCCCCAAAAAAACACAGTAAATGTAAACAATAGGACAAGAATAGGCAGGTCCAACCAATGTGAAGGGGTAAGGGGATAAATAATCTAGAAAGACGATATTTTATAAAACTGAAATAAAAGTGAAGAAATAAACATGAGGAAGGTAGAAAGAGAAGAACATGAAATTCCCGAAGGTATCCCCCAGCAAGACTAGCTTTCCAAACAGCCTAAGGCTGCCCAACTCTAAAAGAGTCTCAATTCTACAAATCTCTAAATTCTTCCTATGCTAAAGGAAGCAATTATTTATAGCCTATGACAATGTTTAAATAAGGTAAAGTATAATTAATAATCATGCTAATCATTATTTATTGCTTGAATCTTTCATTTAAGAAAATCTAATTCATTATGATCCTTTGATTAATTCTTTGATTTCTTTCCTTCCGTTGAGGTTTTCCTTGATTTTCTCTACCTCTACCATAAAGCTTAGTGAAAGTGATTTTCAAAGACTTATAGTGTGAAGCTTCATGGAAGAGAAAGAAAAACTTCTTAATTCTTATCTGGATTTTAAAGAATATATTTTCAATAATTGACCTTTTCCTTTTGAGAGCGTAAAAATAGTGTAGTTCAAACAACCAATTTGTTCTCTACGTAATATTTTTTTCCCTTTTAGGTAACATTGTTGCTCTCCTACATGCGTTCTTCAGTAACCTTCCACAGGAATGGCTTGAGGGAGCACATCTCATTATCAAACATTTGAGACCTGTGACGTCTGTGGCTGTGCTGAGAATATCCTTTCGTATTATGGGTCCTTTACTACCGCGATTGGCAAATGCTCATCCTCTTTTCAATAAGGTGTGGATTCTCCTCTTCTGCCATTTTTATTTTTGTCTGCTTTTTTGTATGATTTCCTAAAGATGAAGGTAGATTTATTACTTATTAGGTTTGCAAACAAAGGTGCTCCCAATTAAGTTGTTCTAGTAATGGGTATATGTTTCAGTGTTTAACAAGCTTGGCGCATATGATATATATGCTCCGGATTGAGTGTGTGATGAATATTATGTCATTAGCCTATTTATTCCCATTTTTGTATATCCTTGTTTATAAATAGGGATTTGACTTTGATATCTTTATACATTTTATTTTCATCTCACATTATATTCTACAAATTTTATAGCATGCTTATTAATACTTCAATCCAGACTAGCTGTTCATTATGAATGTTTGACTCGTCCAAATTAAGCTTTCACCACATGGGTCCAAACTCATCACAAATAATAATGAATTATTGTTCTTTATGATTTTAAACCATGAATAAATGTTACGTATATTATTCTAAAGCAAATAAAATTGCACTTTTCATCCGAAACATATCTGGTTAGTCAGTTTTTTTAAAGTCGTCTGTTACATTGTTACATTGTTGTGTTTTAACATATATTACTTCACAATTTGGGAACTACAAATGCAATCAGCCCTCCATGTGCATTGTTTCTTAAATCTGATAATCAGTTTCACTGTGTTCTAAAAATTATAATATTTCAATTTTCAATAAACTATGCTCTATATCTTACTCTTCATTTGTATTTTACTTAAAGGAGAGAACCCACAGGAAGAGTTTCCTGAAACTATCACATTGCATGCCATCAATTACATGCTTTTTCTATGTAGAGACTGAGCTTAATCATGGCCAGTTGCTTGAAAGGATAGAAAAGAATCAAAAGTGATCATACTTCGTACAAAGCAACTGGTTTTTTAATTTAAAGATGATGATGTTCTGTTATCTTATTCTACCCTAATTGGTTGTTATCTTCTGTGTCAGACACTGTCACTGCTTTTAAACGTACTGGTGGATGTCTTTGGGAGGAGCACACAGCCACCAGCTCCTGTTGAGGCTTCAGATATAGCTGATATCATTGACTTCCTGTGAGATACCAATCCTTGTCCCTGGAGCTTATTTTCAGATTTAATTAGAACTTTAACATTCTCTGTTCTTCTCCCTCCTTAGGCATCATGTGATCCATTATGAGGGACAAGGAGGGCCGGTTCAAGCAAGCAGCAGACCTAGAGCTGAAGTCCTTGCTCTATGCGGAAGGGCAGTCGAAAGCTTACGCCCAGATGTGCAGCATCTTCTTTCTCATTTGAAGACTGATGCAAATTCATCTATTTATGGGGCAATGCACCTAAAGTCTGTTCAAGACTCCTCTTAGTTTCTTTTATCTCACGTAAATACGTAATAGTAGAAGGTGATGACTCCTACATTGGGTTTGTACCACTGCATCTTACAACATTATCGGGATATTTCATAGCTCGGTCTTGACAAGAAAGTCGATTGTTTTGCTACTAAATGTAGTCATTATTGTCTTGGATGCGTAGGTATAATATATGGCACTATTTTGCTGCTTATAGTATTCACTCTGCATTTGTGGCTGCTTAGATGTAATAGTGGGATATAAGCAAGGCAGGGCTGGTTCTGGGTGGGTGGGTGGGTGGGGGGGGACCGCCTTAGGCCCGAAAAAAATAGAACAAAAAATAGGCCCGAATTTTATCTTTATATATAGTGTGAGTAGGCTTCTTTTTTTTATTGGGAAACTTATTATTTTCTGTTACTCAGAACCACTACATATGAGAGATAAAGTTATCACGCTCAATTGTTAGTCCGCTTACCTTATCTTATACTTAAAAACATTACATATGAGAGAGAGAGTTTTCCCGCTCAATTATTAACCAATTTATCTTCTAATAATCTTATACTTAAAAACACTACATATGAGAGAGAGAGTTTTCCCGCTCAATTATTAGCCAATTTATCTTCTAATAATAATACCTAAAAGCATTACATATGAGAGAAAATTTCCCTGCTCAATTTGTTCGCTCAATTGTTAGCAAGTTTATCTTCTAATACACTGAAGCACTAAATGTGAGAGAGAAAATTCTCCCAGCTCAATTATTAACAAGCTTATTTTTTCTTATACGTAAAACCGTTACATATGAGAGACAAAATTCTTCTGCTCAATTGTTAGTCGGCTTATCTTATACTTAAAAGTTAAAAGTTAAAAGAACTCAATATGAGAGAGTTTTCTCGCTCAATACCTAAAAGCATTACATATGAGAGAAAATTTTTTCACTCAATTTCTCTGTTCAATTGTTAGCAAGGTTATCTTCTCATACCTAGAAACACTATATATTAGAGAGAAACTTCTTGCACTCTATTATTAGCAAGTTTATCTTCTTTTACCTAAAACCACTATATATGGGAGATAAAATTCTCTCGATCAATTGTTAGTCGACTTATATTGTAACTAAAAGTACTGCTCCCTCTGTCCCGTTGGAAGGTCCCCATATCAAAACGGCACGGTTATTTAGGCAATAATTAAATAAAGTATTTCGAGTGTATTTTGACAAATAATTTTAATAGGTATATATTATAATGTAGTTAATATTGATAACTGTGATGTTATAAATGTATTATTTTTAACATTTAATGATTAATTTGTCACTTAAGATTGTTAATTATTTCCTAAAATGGAAATAGGAACCTTTTTATGGGACGTCCAAAAAAGGAAAGTGGGAACCTTCTAATGAGACGGAGGGAGTACATAATTTCAAATGAAAAATGAGCATATAAGCTTTTTTGTATTATATAAGGGCTAGTTTATTATTATTATTATAGTCACTAAATGTTAGCAAACTTATTTTCTGATACCTAAAAGCACTACATATGAGAGAGAAAATTCTGTTTTGTGACTTTAGTTTTTAGTTTGGGAGGAACCAAGCTGACTAATTTGGCCCATAATAGCTTTGAATCTCTCTCATGCTCAGCGATTAGTCATGCTCATTATTGTTTGGGAGGAAATGTTTGGGTAGCCAGAATATAGGATGTTTATTGTTTGATTTTTGAATTTAATATAAGCGTTTTCTAGCAAAAAAAATATATTTTAGTTTTATAGTTAGTATCAAAGTAACTATAAGTAAGAACCTCTCCGATATATAGATATTTGTAAATTAAAATAAATTTGTCTATGAACTTTTATAGTGACTTTGATATAATTTTAAACATAATTATAGTAACTAAAAATTAATAAGTCATACTTATAGCCAATATCTTTATTCTAGTCACATGTCGAGAATTATTTCTTTAATTAATAAGGAATAGCCCGCATCGAGGTTGGAAAATTAACAGGTTACTTAATACACTTTCAGATTTTTTAAAAAATTTCTATATGCAATATTGTTCTCATATGAAATATCATAAAAAGATAGGAATTTTGATATATGTTTTGTAGAAATTACAACAAAAATTTAAAAGTTAATATTTTCATATGTTAAATTATGTTTACTAAAAGTTAATAACTCATATGTTTATCAACTATCCCTATCTTGGTCATATATTAGAAACTTTTTCTTTATTTCATACAGAATAATTCGTATTTACGTTATAAAGTTAGAAGGTTGTTTAATAAATGTTCGTTTTTTAATTAACTTGATCAACACAAATCATTCTTAATCATAAAAATTACTCGTATGTAGTATTTGTTTTATAAAATTTTAGGTATAAGAAGATTAGGTCATAATTAAGAAAGTTAACAATTGAGCGAGATAATTTCCTCTATCATATACTCCCTCCGTGTCATATTAGTTGCCACATTGAAATTTACACATTATCTCACTCAATTGTGAGACGGTTTATCATATACCTCAAAGCATTACATATAAGAGAGAAAAGTGGGTCACTCAATTGTAAACCGACTTATCTTAATTATACTTCAAAGCACTCCATATGAGAGAGAAAATTATCTCGCTCAATTGTTAGCCGACTTATCTTCTACTTAAAAGCATTATATATGGGAGAGAAAATTATACTACATCTTTCACAAATGTGTAATGATTCTATATGATAGAGGAAATTATCTCGCTTAATTGTTAAACTTCTTGATTATGACCTAATCTTCTTATACCTAAATTTTTATACATAAAAGCATTATACATGTGATAGAAAATTATCTCACTCAATTGTGAGACGGCTTATCATATACTCCGTACCTCAAAACATTACATATAAGAGAGAAAAGTTGGTCACTCAATTGTAAACCGACTTATTTTAATTATACTTCAAAGCACTCCATATGAGAGAGAAAATTATCTCACTCAATTATTAGCCGGCTTATCTTCTACCTAAAAACATTATATATGAGAGAGAAAATTCTACTACATCTTTTACAAATGTGTGATGATTCACCCAATAACAATTTTCTTTCATCATCTTCTACATCTTCATTACTTAATTACATAATTCCTTTTTAATTTACTTTCTATCATTAGATTGTTAGCGTTTTGAGTATTTTTTCATACCGAGTATATCTCTTCAATTGCAAGAGCTTATGTTATGCAGGTTTATTACTATGAATAGTGTTAGCTTTTGATTCGCAAGTTTTTTTCCCTTTTTCTAAATTCAGTTTGATTTTATTATTAATTCTAGTTGGTAGTCTAATATAGTGCTTCTTTCATGTAAATTCGCTTAGTAAAGCAAATAACAAAAATGCAAAAGATGAAAAAGAAGTAAATAGACCAACTCGGATTTTTATTTTATTAGAACTAATTAGATTTTCATTTGCTAATTTTTTTTTATAGCAAACCAGTGCACTTCAAATCATAAAATAATTTAAGAAACAAAAATGTTTAATCAATTTTTTCATATTTGTCCCTTCTCTTAAGAAGAAAGAATACAATACTATTAAATTGAATTAAATTTAGAAGTTTTATTTATTAGCAATTTAGCACCCGGTTTGGTTATCATTTTCATTTGCTAATTTTTGAATTTCGAATGACATTATAATAAGAAAGGAATAAGGTTTACAACACTTTAATTGGGATGGAGGGAGTATAATTTTATTTTATACATAATTATAAAGACCGTTAAAAAATTATAATTTTATACATTCAATATTGATCTCAAATGAAAGATCACAACAAATTATGATTTTTGATATATTTTTTATAAAAAATGGAGCAAAAATGAAAAAGTTATAATAATTTAAATAAAAATGAGGTTTTTTATAGTTTGGGCCCCACCAAATACACCTCCTACAAAAATTGGGGTTTGCTTCTGTTGCAAAAAATAGCTCTATACCTTTGGAGAGAAAAAAGAAGCAGCCACGTGACAATAGGAAATGAGAGAAGAAAATTATGGAGAGTGACACATTAGATTAATGAAGAGTGTATTTGTCTTTTGAGGAGTTATTTCTTTTCTTATATATAAATAGAATAGATAATAATAATAATAGTAATAATAATAGTAATAATAATAATAGTAATAATAATAGTAATAATAATAATAATAATAATAATGGGAGGGTCAGAATAATTTGTGAACTTTATTTAGCTGCCGAACACGGAGTCAACATTTTTTCTTAAGAAAATAAATAATCTGTGAGCCATTTCAGGATCTCTGCACCTTGTCTTTTGCATCCTCATATGAAATGCATTTTCCCCACACGTCACTCCTGTTTCCTTCTATTCGTCGATGTATGCACCAGCAATGAGTGATTGCGCTCTGCGGTATATTGGAACGGGTATCAGCCGCATGTTCTTATCTCTTCTCCTGCATAATATCTTCACATTTTCACGAATGAGTAGTTGATCAACAAATTGGATGAGGTGTAAAGGTACATGCATGTGATTTTCTTGTTCGTTTGGTTTTTAGACGCGATTTACCTCCTCGATTATTTTGGAATGTTTAACATTGGATATTTGGAATATGATGTAGTATATCACAGCCCAAATATTGTCGTTTTTATTCTATAATTTAGTTTTTTGGTATAATTTGAATTCCCTTCCATTTAGGTTTCCCCTGAATCTTCACGTGATCTATAATCTCTCCACCTGGATCTGTTAAAAGATAAACTTGAAGCTGTGTTTCTCTATCTAATTGTTAGTGTGATATGTATGGGAGAGAGTGGTTTTCCTTTACTTCATGTGATTAGATCATTAACCGCTTTGTTTTAAAAATTGGGTTCATTAATGTCAAACAGCTTTCATTAGATTCATTTGCAGCTTTCAAAATGTTAGTAATGCACAAGGGTGGTTGAAGCTACAAATGGTATGAAATTATGAATATTAAACTACAAATAAATCTTAATCTGATGACGATGAACATGATGATGATGATGATGATGATGATGATAAAGATGCATATATTCGAATTTCCAAACGATGAATAATTATGAATCAGGAAATGATGATAAGATTTTTGTATTCAATATCAACAACAATATGAACCAGAGATGGACTCATGGACAACATTAAGTTTTTGCACTCGAGACATGATTTTATTTATAGGGCCATCACTCTTTTTAGTGTATAATCTTATTCTTTAATAGATTTGCAACCTTCAACACTACCATGGTTCTATTTATTACAGACTATTTTGAAACTGCAATATAATTGACAAGTGATGGTTCATTACATTTGTAGTTTTTGGAATTGCATTCGAATTCTGTTATTTACTTGTTATGGACTTTGGTTGAATGTTGGTAATCTAAGCAGATTTACATGTTCAATACTCTTTCATTATGTTTCTGCAGGTCAATTGCTATTGCTCCACCATATTAAATTTCATTTTGAATTTTGAGCAGTTGTTGAATTTGGACCATTGTAGATGCAATGTTTTTCCCACTTATGATGTCTCCTCAATGCCGAGCTTATACCTTAGTCAATTCTTGGTGGCAAGGTTTTGATCATTTTAGTAAGAGTGGGTGTGTTAGGTTTAGATTTAAAGTTCTTGCCTCATGTAAATACGGGCCAGATGGTAGATGTAACAGGACTGAGAATGGAAGAGCCCCCCTAACAACCCAAGGTGAAGGGAAAACGGTGGATATTATACGAAGCAAAAAAACTATTAGAGAAGAGATATCAAATGAGATTACTACATCTAAAGTAGATTTATATAAATCAGAAATACCCACGCTGGAAAAAAATGAATACTATGATATTCGGAAAAAGATTACTGAAAATAAAGAATTGGCTAGTCTTATAACTTTTATTGCTTTTGATATTGAGACGACTGGGTTTAGCAGTGAGAGATGTCGAATAATAGAGATTGCATTAAGGGACCTAGTTGGAGGTGAAAATAGCACTTTACAGACTCTGGTCAATCCTGGGTGTTATGTGAATAATGGTTCTGTTCATGGAATTTCGACTCATATGGTCTGCAGGCCTGATGTACCCAGGTATATTAAACGAAATATATTGGTAGGTTCCTGTAGTGTATGCATCTTACTGTCTGCATTTGTGTCATTTGTTGGTGTGTTTTGATTGCATGACTTATTTTAGGCTCAATTTTCCAACCTATCCTGCTGATTAAGTTTAGGTAAGAACTAGGGCTTTCTAATATTGTGACTTGTGTGATAGTAGAATTATATTTTGATGTTGCTTAAAAGTAATAATCCTCCATCCCAAATTATACTTCTTACTTTGAAGCCCATTTGAGATTTTGTGCAATGGTTTGTTGGCTGATGTAGAGGAAGAATACTTTGTCTGCCTTTTGAAAAGAACTAGAGATACAATCTTGACATTACAAAATGCTGAGACATATTACTTGACTAGAATGTTCAGTGGAAAAAAACTCTATGGACTGATATATATAAATTAGAGCTATAATAAAATCCCAATTCAAAAATGAATATATTGAATTATAGTAGGAGAATGATGAGTTAGAATCCATAACTAAGTAATGGAAAAGTTTCTGTCTTTGTTTTCCACTTGTAATGTGAAAAAAATGTAAAATTGTAAATTCTCCGTATGTAATCAATAAAAAGCGATGTCCAGCTTAGAAATTCAAAGTATGAACTTTTATGAAAAAAAATAGAATTAGGAGTAGCTTAAAAGGTCGCACATGTTGTCATGTTCCAGTACTTCATCATATCCTATGTGCACTGGAAGTCATCTTGTGAGAAAATTAGATAATTATCTCATGGGTTATTACTCTTGGGTTGTCCAAATATAGTTTCCTTTCCAGATTTATCCATAAGTCACTCACATAAGCTCTATAAATGTGCCTCTTCAATGAGGTGAAATGTGAACAGAGGAATCTTCACTGCCCTAGCTTTCTTTTTTTTGTACTTTTTACCTACATAATGTGTCTTGTCATCACAACTCAAAGTATAATTACGAGTAGCATAGAACCATAGTGCCTTCAGGAGGCTGCTCAGTCGTTATGGTCTGTGGAACTAGCTACCATTCATATCCACAGACTCCCTAAATAACATAAACAATTTTATAAACAGAGGCTGCTAGATGTGTTTCTTAACTACTGAATTGAGAATTCTCTGTACAGTATTTGACCAGAAAATATGTATCAATAAGGCTGCAAACTTTGGACTATGATTTTAATTATTAAATTTGTATATAATTTATAAATTTTATACTATTTTATACTATTATGAAAATATTTTGAATATGGAGCATTTTGATATAATTTTCATATTCAACATAATTTTCGTATTAAAAAATAGCATTGGTCAAAGTTGATTGTCATTGATCAAGAAAAGTCAATTTGATAACTTTAGTATTTTAGGTCCAATTAAATATACTAACTTCATGCCGGCGTCATTACTCTACATCACTACACTTCGAGTCATTATCACTGCACTTTCCGTGAGAATGATCTTCTCTATCAAATCTTTCTTCATTGCCCTACGTTCATATCCTTAGATAAAACCAGTCTTATAGGAGTCCTATCAAATTTTCCCTTCTATGTTTGTGCTACATTTCAATCCTATAGTACTTGTGTTGCTCCTTTCCATTTCAACCAACTTGTTTCACATTTTGTGATACAAGCAGTATTGCTCGCTGATTGTTTTTCCCATTCAATTTCACTACACTGCTTTTGGACTTTAGTCGTCTAAATTTGTACTAACATTTTAATGTTTTGCTTCGGCTTATCATAAAATTTTTGTGCTTTGAACTCGGATGTCTCCATAATTCGAATTAAGCATTTAGCCCTTCTTTACTTTCATCCACTAGGATGATATTATTTGCAAATAACATACATGGATATATCTTGAAACAATTGCTTACTGATTGTTTTACACGCTCAATTTCACACATGATTGAACTTCAGTCGTCTAAATTTGCACTACCATTGTTATGTTTTACTTCGGCTTATCTTAACTTATCGTGTTTTGAACTCAGATGTCTCTAATTCCAATTAAGCATATAACCCTTGCTTTCATCCACTGGGATGCTGTTATTCGCAAATAACATGCATGGAGACACCACTGGGATGATATTCCTAATTACCTCTTCCTGGATGGTTGCAAATAAGAATGAATTCTAGGTCAATCCTCGGTGCAACCCAATTATTATAGGATAATCTTTTGTCACCCCTCCAAAAGTTCTGATATTTGTTTTGGTGTCGCTGTACATATCTTTGATATATATATGTGACACTCTTCTTTGTGATACACACTATCTTAGTCTTTCTCCATATCAATCACAAAAATATGTAATTCTTTGTTTTTGGCCTTTTAATACGGCATGAATTATCTTAAAAGATGGATCGTCATAAGCGCCCAGACGTAAATCTGAACAGGTTCTCTTGTATACTAATACATTTTCTCAGCGCCTAATCTCAGCCCACAAGTTTTATCCTCCTTTTAGTTTTGTAGATTATTACAGATAGTTCTAATTACTCACCCGATTGAGCATTTATGAGAAGATATCTTAGAGATCTCAGAATCTCTAAATATCCCCAAATATCTTTTCTTTATTAGGGAACCTTAATTAGGAGGATTCCTTCCTTGTTTCACTTTTCTCTAGCTATATATATTATGTATTCTTCTCATTGTAAAATTCAGAACAAATAAACATTATACATTCTACTTTATTGAGTTCTTTCTACATGGTATCAGAGCGTGGTTATTCTCTAAAATGATTAAGTTCGGATCCTATGGGATGACCACCGAGAGATGGATCTATCTCAGTCACCTTTGAACCTTCAGAGGCTGTCCCAACCGGAGATGGCAGCAACCAGAATATCAATGGAAGCATAATCACCACTCCTAATCAATCAGATTCGATTATTACTTGCCATAAACTCAATGGTAGTAATTATCTACAATGGTCCCAGTCAATTATGATGTATGTGTGAAAAAGACAAGGAGGACTATTTGACAGGTGATGCACCTGCTCCGAATCAAGGAGATTTAGGCTACAAGAAGTGGAAAAAGGAGAACTATACCGTGATGTCATGGCTCATCAATTCCATGACAACCAGTATAGGGGAAAACTTCTTACTATACAAAACAGCTCAAGAGATTTGGGAGGCTGTGAAAGAAACATACGCTACTTCAGATAACACTTCTGAATTATTCGAGGTTGAATCAATGCTACATAACCTTCAGCAGGGAGAATTGAGTGTAACTCAATACTTCAACAACCTTGTGAGACTCTGGCAGCATCTTGATGTGTTTGAGACATACGGTTGGTCATGTTCTAAGGATAAGAAGTTATATCAGGAGATCTGTGAGAGGAAGAGAGTCTTCAAATTCATGTCAGGTTTGGACAAGAGTCTAGATGAGGTTAGGGGCAGAATAATGGGAAAGAAACTCACACTAAGAGAAGCCTTCTCAGAAGTCAGAAGAGAAGAAAGCAGAAGAAAGGTAATGATGGGTCCAAAATCTCAAGGCCAACAACAAAACATTGAAGGGTCAGCCTTATATACCTCTTCCAGACAGAATGAAAACAAGAAAAAGGGGAGGCCATGGTGTGTTCATTGTAAGAAACCAGGCCATACCAAAGAAACACATTGGGATTTGCATGGTAAACCTAAAGATTTCACACCAAGCAAAGGGAAAGGAGCCTATGTAGCTACTGGAGATAAAGACGACATGGGCACTTCTAACTCTGCTGCATTTACCAATGAGCAGATTGAGGTTCTTCAACACCTGAACAAGGGGCCTACACCATCAACTAGCCTTACTGCTCAGATAGGTAATGCCTTAACAACCCTAGCTACACACAGTCAGCCCTATTGGATTGTTGATTCAGGGGCATCACATATGACTGGAGACAGTAAGTTTTTTGCTGAATTGATCTTTATGAAGAATAAGGTAACTCTGAAAATTGCTGATGGAACTACTTCAACAATAAAAGGGACTGAAGAGTCAAAATTTCTGACAAGATAGTGCTTAACAATGTGTTATATGTTCCAGATTTAAAGTTTAACCTCTTATCAGTCCGTAAACTGAACAATGATACACATTGCCTAACTAAATTCTCTTCTCAATTGTGTGAATTTCAGGATTTGGATTCGGGGAGGATGATTGGCAGTGCTAAGCAAAGTGGTGGACTCTATCTTCTGGAACATTCACCAAACTCCACCAACCAGACAACTTCCAGTGAGAGTCAATTCAATCATAAGTTCTTAGGGAGTCTTAGTAGGAGTCAATTTGATGCTCAAATTCAGTTATGGCATTATCGTCTTGGTCATCCTAATGTCTTGTACTTAGAAAAAATATTTCCTTCATTATTCATAAATAAAAGTTCTGCCTTTGATTGTGAATTTTGTCAACTTACTAAACATACTATAGTCACTATCCCAGTCTACCTTACAAACCATCTAAACCATTTTCTCTCATACACAGTGATGTTTGGGGCCATCCAAGGTAAAAAATCTCACTGGTTCAAGGTGGTTTGTTCTGTTTATTGATGATCATACACACCTAACTTGGGTCTTCCTCGTGAAAGAGAAGTCAGAAGTCAATATTATCTTTCAAAGATTCTATTCTATGATCAAAACTCAGTTTCAAACCAAGATTCAAGTTTTTAAAACTGATACAGCCAAAGAATATTTCTCATCCAACTTAGGAGAGTTTTTGTCCAAAAAGAGGATTATACACATTAGCTCTTGTGTTGACACCCCACAACAGAATGGGGTGGCAGAAAGGAAGAATAGACACTTAATGGAAGTTGCAAGAGCCCTTATGTTCACCACTCACACTCCTAAACACTACTGGGGAGAGGTTGTCCTAACTGCAGCTTATCTGATAAATAGGATGCCCTCCAAAATTCACCAATTCAAAACCCCATACCAAATCCTATCTTATCTACGTCCTCACACCCCTCTTACCAATTTTCCACCAAAGATCTTTGGTTGCAAATCATTTGTTCACAACCATTCTCCACTTAGGTCAAAACTGGATCCCAAATCCTTACCTTGTATATTCATAGGATATGCTGCCAACCAGAAAGGATATAAATATTATTCTCCTACCACAAAAAAGGTCTACATCACAATGGATGTAACCTTTTTTGAAAATCAGCCTTTCTATTCCAAAACTGAATTTCAGGGGGAGAATCACAATGAAATCCAGTCTTTGAACCCTATTTCACCTATTTCAGACACTATTCCAGACCTCCAAGATTCTGAATCTAACCACACTGAACCTATACTCTTAGACAGATCTGAATCAAGCCCTCCAGACAATATAGTCCCTCCATCAACCTCACCATTTCAGCCATCAACTTTATCACCCCAAATGCCTACACTAAATCAAAATTCCCCATTCTACAAGAATACCTATAAGCGGAAACCTAGAAGCAGAGTTCCAGAAGAAGAGCACATCACTCCAATTAACACCACCCAATAACCTGACTCAAATTTGAATCCTGATGACAAAGAGGCTGAGGCTATAGAAGGAGATGAGGAGGAACAAGACCTGCCTATTCCTACCAGAAAGGGAGTAAGGGAGTGTTCCAAACATCCTATCTATAATTTTGTTTGTTATAAGAAACTATCACCAAACTATCAAGCTTTTATTTCAAAGATTGATAGTATTCAGGTTCCTAACAACATCATGGAAGCCCTTGAACATCCAGGGTGGAGGAAGGCTGTCCATGATGAATTAGCAACTATGTTGCACGGAAACGTGAAAATCATAAGGAAACGGGAAACGGGAAACGTCAACTTTTGCTCAAAAAACGCTTATTTGGAGAGTTTCCAAAGAGTTTCCGAGAGTTTCCGAAACGGGAAACGTACTCTTTCCCAAGAGTTTCCGTGTTACATAGATTAGCAGCATTAAAGAAGAATGGAACTTGGGTGCTTACATATCTGCCCGCAGGGAAGAGAACTGTTGGCTGCAAGTGGGTATTTACAGTTAAATATCAGGCTGATGGAAAGATTGAAAGGTTGAAGGCAAGACTGGTTGCTAAGGGGTTCACCCAAGCTTATGGCATTGATTATTCAGAGACATTTGCACCAGTGGCAAAGTTGAACACCATTAGAGTATTATGGATATATCAAAGAAGTTAGACAGTGAGGCTGAAAGTCCACCCCTTGATAAGGGTAGATATCAAAGGCTGGTAGGGAAGCTAATCTACCTATCTCACACACGGCCAGACATTGCTTTCTCAGTAAGTGTGGTAAGTCAATTCATGAATGACCTAATTGAGGAACACTTAACTGCAGTCTATAGAATTATTGTTTTAGAAACAAGGGACAAGGAAGATTGAAGTGTTTACTGATGTTGACTGGGCTGGAACCCTCTTAGACAGAAGGTCAACTACGGGTTATTGTACTTATGTATTGGGTAACTTAGTCGCCTGGAGGAGCAAGAAACAATCAGTGGTTTCGAGAAGTAGTGCAGAGTCTGAGCTCAGGGCTTTAGCACAAGGAATATGTGAAGGATTATGGTTAAGAAGATTGATGAATGTGCTCAAACTTCCGTTTGAAAGCTCCATCCAGATCTCATGTGACAACCAGTCTACTATCAGTATTGCTAAGAATCATGTCCATCATGACAGGACCAAACATATTGAGATAGAAGTTTCTTATCAGAAAAGATTGCAGCAAAGGATATCCAGCTAAGCTTTGTTTCAACCAGGCAGCAAATAGCTGATATATTCACCAAGGCACTTCCCAGAATTTAGTTTGAAGACTTATCTAGCAAGCTGTGCATGGATGATATCCATCACCCAGCTTTAGGGGGAGTGTAGATTATTACTGATAGTTCTAATTACTCACCCGATTGAGCATTTATGAGAAGATATCTTAGAGATCTCAGAATCTCTAAATATCCCCAAATATCTTTTCTTTATTAGGGAACCTTAATTAGGAGGATTCCTTCCTTATTTCACTTTTCTCTAGCTATATATATTCTGTGTTCTTCTCATTGTAAAATTCAGAACAAATAAACATTATACATTCTACTTTCTCGAGTTCTTTCTACCAGTTTGCACAATACTGTACCTTTTTTCATTACTTGGTACCTCTGAGCTCTTCCTTCAATTGTTTTCTATTCTATTAATCTTCCAAATTTTGTTAAAAGTTCTGTTAACCAGTCTATACCAACTCTGTCAACATTTCCTGACTTCGTGGGGACTTCATTGGAGTCAACTACTTTATATTACAGACCATATTGGATACGATTGAAGATGAAGTTTGATGACAGAATCTTTTTTGCTGCTAATTTCAATGTGCCTAATTAATATCAAGACTCAAGAGTGCTTGATAGTTTTCTTTTGTTTCTCCTACCAGGGGGCATTATTCTGTCTAGTGAAAAATGGACTGTAAACTATCATGTATTTGTGTAGGATGGAGGACCTAATTCCCATCTTGTTACAATATGTGAGAAGCCGCCAGAAACCTGGTGGGTATGTAGTGTGGATTGCTCACAATGCTCGTAGTTTCGATGTCCCTTTTCTAATCAACGAATTTAGCCGATGTTGTTACTCAATTCCTTCAAACTGGTTGTTTATTGACACACTTCCTCTGGCCCGTAAAGTAATGAAGTCTGCAGGTACTTCATCTTCTACAATTTTCTTGTTTATTTGTTCTTTTTGCCTTTCCTTGTGCTATCTCTGATTTTATAATTGATCTGAGCTTATATGGCATTTAGGGCATTTAGGCGCAAAGGGCCTTCCAAAAGCATCACTGAAAGACATGCGGGAACACTACAAGTTCCCGTTACTCGGCACAGAGCATAGAGCAATGGCAGACGTGAACTTGTTGGCATTAGTTTTCCAGTCTCTAACTTTTGACCTGAAACTGACAGTACCTGACCTTGTTGGAGAGCATTCTACTTGGTTCTCAGAAGTAGGCAATAATAAAGAGAGAAAAAAATCAAGCTGAAGAAGGGTGTCCTCCCTGGTAGTGAACTGATTGTAGATGCTTACAATTGTTGTAGTGTATTTATCTCAATCCATGAACTTGAAGCTTGTAAGTTGTAACCTCCAAATATTTTTCTCCTCTGGGAGTACAATTGATCAAATTCATCAGTCAAACCTATTAATCATTTTAAGGTAAAAATGATTAAAATGTAAAATTTTTGAATTACAATTATTCAATATAATGTTCAGTGACTACAGTTACTCCTGAACATGTTTATGTTTGGAATTGGGGAAAATATCCGAGTCGGTCTATCCTCTTGAAAACACCCATATTCTGATACTACGTATTCCTTTTCCGGCGGTGGAGCAAGAGTTTATTGACAGAAAACAACAACAAAATTCAGCAATAAACTCTCGCTGCTTCATTTAACATTTTAACTCCTATCCCATAAATGATTGAGCAAAAAACCTACTCCGTAAATACAAAGATCACCCTACCCATTCAGGGGTGGACCTAGGGATGGACCCAACTGGTTCGGCCCGGCCCGGGTATTGGTTGGGCCGTTTGGGATACAAAAAAACTATAAATACTCCATTTTTTCTATACATTTTACTACACATCTTCTCCAAATATTCCTACTCTCTAATCTCTATTATCTACTAATCTTCTCCATCTTCACTAATTATTATATTATTGTTATTTACTTATATTTACATATTTCATATACTTAATATATACTTATATATATTAAAGTATTAAATATAAGTGTATTACTCATCTTATAGTAATATACTTATATTATATATACTATAAACATAATATTATATATTACTTGAACAATTATTATATCTACTTATACACTTGCTTGTACACTCTCACACTCCCATTAATTTAGTCTACACACTCATACATTCTTTATTAATATAAAACTAGTTAATTGTTTCACTTATCATTTTAGACTTTTAGTATTAGTTCATTGCTATAAAAGTAGTTAATTGTTAGTTGTTAGTTTATTGGAAATAGTTACATTAAAAAGAAAGTAGTTACATTTTACTTCCAAAAAAGTTGTTAGACAATAATTCGAAGTTAATTGTTTAATTGTTAAACTAGTTAATTGTTACATTTCTTATTCTCCTATAAAACTAGTTAATTGTTACATTTCTTAATCTCCTATAAAACTAGTTAATTGTTACATTTCTTATTCTCCTATAAAACTAGTTAATTGTTACATTCCTTATTCTCCTATAAAACTAGTTAATTGTTACATTTCTTATTCTCCTATAAAACTAGTTAATTGTTTAATTGTAAAACTAGTTAATTGTTACTTTTTATATTAAAGTTGTTCTAATTTTATAATAAAAGTAGTTAAACTTGTTAAATTTTTATTTATTTATTATTTGTTGACAAATAGTTCGAATTTTATTACTTACTTGTTAATTAGTTGCATTGTTACATTTTCTCATTTTTTAATTGTATTTCGAATTGTTAGATTTGTATTTCAAATTAACTAGTTTAATTGTACTTCGAATTTAATATTTGTTATATTTTTAAGATGGAACGTGGTAGAGCTTCTGTAGATATGGGTAACCTCCGCCGCAACCGAACAAAGGAGATTGTGAGGAATCATCCAAGCTCACGCAAAGGTAAGGGACGGGCCGGGTCTTCATCTCAAACCTGAGATGATTTTGATGCGAATTACAACCAAAGATATGGGGATGCGATGTCCGATGAGCAAGTAGAACAACTATTGCAGCCGCATCAAGGGCGCTTTTTCCATCAACAAGACATCCCGACCATTGACGAAGAAGAGCTCGAGGATGATGATGTGGGGGAGGGGGATCCGCAAACGGCCGAGGACGAGGTTCATGGCACACCGGACCATGAGGAAGAGCAAGCGGAAGTGGCTACTTCTTCCCAAGGCGATGAGAAAGCTGAACCTGTCTTTAAGGCCAATTTTACAAAAGTTAAAGACCCCGAAACTGAGATACGGTACACCACTTGCAAGCATTGCCCAAAAGTGTAAAACTTGGGAATTTTTGGAGGGTACGGGAGCGCCACAAGGCATCTTAAGGCCAAACACCCGGCGTCATATGCGAAATCGGACAAACGCAAGGGAAAGCAAACACAAATTTCAAGGTTTGGAACTGGCCAACCTTTCGGTAATTTCTCCTATGATGATAAAAAACATTTGGCCGGTATGTCTCATTTAATTGTTGAAGAAAATTTGCGTTTTATTTTTTCCGAAAGTCTTGCTTTAAAAGAATATGCTCAAGGTACTTTAAATCCTCAATTTCGAAACTATAGTCGCAAAACAATTAAAAAAGAAGTTATAAGGCAATATGTTTTGGAAAAACAATAATTACAAACGTTTTTCGCAAACTTTGATGGACGTGTTAGTATATGTAGTGATATATGGGAGGATACTCATCATCGTTTATATTATTTGGGTTTGACTGCACATTATATTGATAATGATTGGTGTATGCATAAATGTGTTTTTGCTTTTCGTGAATTTAATGATCGACATTCGACACACCGGTGATAATATTTATATTCTTATTGAGCGTATATTAATTGAGTATAATTTGGTTGATAAGGTGTTTACTATTGGTTTTGATAATGCTAGTAATAATACTGCTGCTATTCCTAGATTGAGTGAATTGTGTGGTTCATCTTCTTTGATGGGTAGTTTTTTCATCAGCGTTGTGCATGTCATATTTTAAATTTATGTGTAAAAGACGGGCTAGCGACGTTGGGAGATGCTATGGAGGTGATGAAGGGGGGGATTAAACTTATTTGGGCTAGTAATCAACTTAAGATGCAATGGAGAAATTATTTGAAAGAAAGACGTGTCAAATATTGTGCTTTTTCTAAAGATTTGTCTATTCGTTGGAATAGTACTTATAACTTAATTAAGGTGCTTATTAGATTTAAAACCCATTTTCCTGCTTTTTAAAAAGAATATGCTAACTATATTATAAACCCGGCCGACATCAACACTTGTGAAAAAATTGTGAATGTTTTGGTGTTTTTTAATAATGCAACTCAAACTTTTAGTCATGTTTATAAACCTACCGCAAACCAATTTTTTTGTTGAAACTGTTAATCTCGCCGGCGCTTTTTGTGAATTTTCCGATGCCGCTTACGTTAGTTATTTCTGTGATTTCATGAAACAAAAGTTTTTAAAATTGTTGGGATATATTATCCCGGTCTATTACTATTCAGGAACCCAAGACTGTACGTAGTACAGAGCCCAATCAATAAGGCCCATTTTAGCCTATCAGGCATGTTTCGGCCTTTGGGCCCATTTTTGCCCATTCGGCCCGTTAGGGTGGAGAGCCCCCCCCCCCCCCCCCCCCCCCCCCTTTATCTATAATAAATAGGAGGAGTTCCCTCCTTATCAAGGATCCTTTTTAGCTTCTTTTTCCTCCCCCTTTTAGAGCTAGCTTCAAAACTCCATTAATGGAACCTTGTACATTGTAATGGTGAGGAGAACATTAATAAATTGAGAGGGCTTGGACAATAGCCTAAACAGTCTCGTGGTTTTCTCCCTTTCCGGGTTTTCCACGTAAAAATAGCTTGTTATACATTGTATTATCACCTCATTGCCACGAAACCCTCCTGGAAGGGGTGTTGAACTTCCGGGCTGCGGCGAATAAACCTCAACAAAAATACTATTCACATATTCCACATATATATAGTATTGCATTTACTTTTGTTCCTCGTTTTAGACTTGATTATTTGGGACAGTGTTTAGATTACTATTATGTTTCTTTTTTGGTCCATTGCCTATGTACGACGATAAGGCCATAGACCCTAAACAAGAATTCCAAGAGGTTAGTAATTTATTATATCAATTATTTAATGAGTTTCATGCACAATATGGTAACGCACCCCCTCCCCCGTCACGAACATCTTCTTCATCTAAAGGAAAATCAATTTTTAAATCTGCATTTGGTAATCTTATGAAAAAAGTAAATCAACTCCGGTTAATGAACAAAGCTCGATTCAACGACCTTTCTTTGTATCTAACATTTCCTGTTGAGTATGAAGAAGGGGATGACTTTGACGTTCTTCAGTGATGGAAGCAAAAAGAAAGAACGTTCCCGATCTTATCAAAGATGTCTAAGCAAGTGCTAGCAATGCCGCTATCAACAGTTGCTATGGATAGGGGTGGACTCGGGCCGGGCCAACCGGCCCGGAACCAGACTGGCCCGCTACTGTGCAGGCCCGGCCCGGTGAACCAGTTCCGGGCCCGGTTCGGGCCAACCGGCCCGGTGGGATGGCGGTTCGGGCTCAGGCCCTTCAAAAGGTGAACCGGCCCAGCCGGTTCAGGCCAATTTTTTGTTTTTTTTTTTGAATTTTTTTTAAGTTTTTGGGTTGGGCTGGGTATTTTGGACCACTTGAGGTGGTTAGGGTTGGTTTTGGGGTGAGGGGGAGGGTTAACTAAGAGAAGCCAAAAAAAAAATAGAACCAAGGCCCGGCCCGGACCCAGGGGTTACCCGGGCCGGTTCCTCGCCTCCCCTTCTTGAACCGAGACCCAGCCAGGCCCAGGCCCGAACCGAGCCTGAACCGGAACCGGTCCATGCCTAGCTATGGAACAAGAGTTTAGTGCGGTTGACAACATGCTAATAGATTATAGAACGAGATTGAACGCAAACTCTCTTGAGATACTAATTTGCTTCCACGATTGGTTGAAGACCCAACATAGAACTCAAGAAATGAGCATCGAACCCACCTGACACTTTATGGAGGAAACAATCGAAGATTGCGGAAATTCCGATTGATTCTTATTTATTAAAAAGTGTATTTCATGTTTTAATTTTCTCAATTTTCAATTGTACTACATATTTCAAATAAATATATTTTAACCTTTTTATGTCCAACTATTCTTAACTTGATATTTTAAACAAAAAAAAATAGCCCGGGCCTGGCCCGAACTGGCCCTCTACCCGGCTGGGTAGCCTGGCCTGAACCGGACCCAGTAGCAACCCAGGCCGGTTATGGGCCTAAGTATTAGGGAAAAAAGCCCGCCCGGGCCCGGCCGGGAACCAGCCCGACCCGGGTCCATCCCTAGGTGGACCACGTCCCATTTATGATAACAAACTAGGACTGGTAGATTTTTCCCCAAAAGATAGATGAGTTCTCCGGTTCCTCCAAAGTACGAATAGACCAAAATTCCATCAAAGTAGGAATAGACCAGTTTTGGTTATGTCTTCTTCATTCACCGGCCTGAGATTCCCAGTTAAGGTTCCGGTTTCCCTCGTCAGTTATCACATGACCTGCAAGTGACTGGCATGGAACTGAAACTCAACCAGAGCAGGTCCCATTACATCCATTCTTCAGATGCAAAAGCAACTACGAAAGACACTGGAGAAAGCTCAAACAACACCCACATGTTCATAAGAGTGCACTTTCATTTGGAATCATATTCTCAACTTCAAGTAACAAAACACATGGTCAATTTTGTTTACCCCGGGGGGTCAGGGGAGGGGGCTGGGGCTGGGAGGGCCTGGGGTAAAGTGGGCTGAACCTGCTTTCATGAAGCTTTGAACCCCGGACCTCCCATATGGAAGAGTGGGTTGGCTACCACATGGTACTGTGGTATATTATATCATGGTAATAAAAGTGGTAACCAATGGCTAAGGTTTTGGGAGCTGAGACGTTATATCATGTTCAAAAGCTGTACAAAATGATTTTACATTCAACTACGACATCAAATCTTCCTAAACAAAGTTGCATAGTAGATGGACAAACGCTCAAAAAGTACCCACTCACATTTAAAACATAAAAAATCGATACTGCATCATAATCAACATGCACCAAGAAGTTCCACCTTCTTATGTATTTCCTTGTAGCACTGGAGGCTGCATAGAGGAAGTCTTGATTTGGAATCTCGATACCTGTACACATTTGTACAAGATGGACCAGCACATTTCTCACGCGGAGGTGGGTAACTGAAATACTCAAAATTGAAATAGATTAGAACATGTGAATGCACAGATTTACCCAATATCATCGTGCAGGAAAAAGAGACATAGGGAGGGAATGTTTGAGTTTGCTTATACTTTTGAAAAGTGATTTATTTTGCAGGTTATATAAAAAGTGATTCGTAATAAAAGTTTGCAGTGCTTGAAAAACAAAAAGTGGTTTAAATAAATAAAAGTTGAACTATTTGGTAGAAAATACTTTTGGGTATATTATTAGAGTAAAATGTTATAGAAAATTGTAGAACAGTTTTAAGCAATCTCGACCCTGCTTACACCTTTTAGTTTTGAATAACTTCAAGTTCAGTAGAAGCATCGACATAAAAAACTACTTTATTCTTTTTATAAAGCAATCAGTAAAAAGTGTTTTTCAGAAGCTCTGGCAAACACTACCTACCATAGAAAGCAGGTGCATAAAAAGATTGGAGAAAAATATATATGTAGGATATATTCAAAATAAGACAAAATATGTAAAGCTTGTAAACATTCTCCACCTGCAGGCCTTGGGCTCAAATATGCTTGGGAGGCCCATCTCGTTAGGGAAAGTTACAACTGTTCCAGAAGGACCCAGTATCCATCTGATAGCATTTGATGGATGAGCTGCTGCTTTTGTTTTCCTCTCCTGCAACATAAAAAGTACAAAGCATAAACAGAAGGTGGTTCTCCTTAAAAATCAGTTAAATTACTACTACCTCCATCACAAGTTAATGGTGACACTTTGTTAGATCTCATAGATTAAGAAAATGATATAAAATACCTAAACTATCCTTTACTTTTGTTGTAGCAATGAAAATGTAAGTAAAGTTGAAATGACCAAGTGTAGATTTAAGTAAAAGGACGGGTAAAGTATGAATGATATATGAGATCATTAGCCAAAAAAGGAAACATAACCCTTATTTTGGGACAGCCCAAAAAGGAAATATATAACTACTCCCTCCATCCCATTCTAAGGTTCTCACTTTCCTTTTTTGGACGTCCGATATAAAGGTTCTCATTTCTATTTTAGGAAACAATTAACACTCTTAAATGACAATTTAATCATCAAATATTAAAAATAATACATGTATAACATCACAGTTGTCATCAATGACCTCATTATATTACATACTCATCAAAATTATATCTCGAAATATACTCAAGTTACCTTATTTAATTATTGTCTAAATAACTGTGCCATTTTGTAATGGGAACCTTTAAGCGGGATGGATGTAGTATTGTTTAGGGACGAAGGGAGTATTAGATACCTATTATTTTATGGGGGGGGGGGATTGTTACTAGCAAATTGGTAACATATTTTCCCTAAAATTAAAAATTAGCATTTGGCCAATGGATAGTTACTTAAACATTCAAGAAACTTTTCGAAAAACAAAATGACCACTAGGAAAGAAGGGATCAATTTTCAAGTATTGTCACCTGTGCTGACTCTTGTTTCTTTTTTAGTTTATCTTCTCGCTTCTTTCTGCTAGAATCTTGACCCAAGATTTTCCTAATTGCCTCAGCCTGTAGACATCAAGCCAAGGAAATTATGAATTATGAGCATGTCCCTACTCCCCTTACACAACTCAATGTTCTCCATCAAATCAAAGAAATTATGAATTAAAAGAAAATTCTTGAGACCTCAGATTCTCGGGCAGCTTTTTCAGCTTGCATCCTGCGCCTCTGAGCAGCTTCATCTTTTTTCAGTTGTTGTTCAACTGCGGAGAGTTTCTCCTTTTGCTCTGTAACAAACCGAGATAGTAATGAAAGGATATACTTACCCGCAATTGGAAACACATGTACATATCGATTGGCACTGACTTTTAGGATGAGGTGGTAGTCCCTGAGGGAATTCAACTGCACTTATACTGGAAATGGATGATACTTCCTTGCCAGTTTGTTGGGCACGCTTTCGTGTAGTCATAGCCATTTCATTCCTAGCACTCCCTGATATTTGACCTAAATCCTTGCATTGTTTCATCTTAGGTCTTAACTCATGATCAGATAATGACTCCTCGTCCTCTTCTACATAATCATTATCCCCAAATTCTCCAACTGATTTGAACATACTACTCTCTTGAGATGTTTTGATGGGGTTGTAATCCCGTGATTTTACATCATAAATGTTGCCAGTCTGATTAAAGACTCTTGAAATCTTCCGCAGCTTCTTAATTCCTCCTTCATCTTCATCATATGCTCCGCCATGACGTGTAGCAAATTTAGAGGTCTTTAGTTTTTCAAGAAAACGAATCTCCTCATCATCATCATCGTCATACTCAGTGTTGAATTCGCCTGATTTGGATGTTTTAGAGAAATGTTTGCTCTTATGTGCTGGGTTGTATTTAGCAGTTTGCTTGAGAGGGCTATCCCCTGAAGATCTCCCAAAAATAAATCCACTCTTGGAGAAGTCCTTCCACGGAACACCTTGCAAGACATTTCCCTTGTCTGAACTATCCTGCAAATTTTCAGGTGCAGACATCAGTTTGACCCAAACTACAACCATTTGCAAGTTCGTAACAGGTTTGGCAAACATTTCATCAATTACAGTTGAATTCATTGTGTTTACTTTGGACCATTATGATTTTTTTTTGGTTTCATAAACCATGGAGTTCAAGAGTAGTAAAAAGATATTACAAACAAAAACAAAGGGGTTTTCCATAAATGTTACTGATTAGATACCCATTGGACAAAATTAGGACAAAAATCTCACAAAAGCAATTACCAACCGGCAACTGTCGCTGGTTAGTTGCCTCTTGCTAACTGTGTTGATAATTGATAGTGTCAGTTGACTGTTTGTAGCTGCGTTCTGCGTAGATAATATTATTGACCAAAAATTAAAAATTAACATTATCGTCCAACGGGCAGTTTAACTAGTACTCCCTCCGTCCATCCCATTTTGTCCATCCCATTAAGTTTTTCAAATAACATATTTTGTAATATTTGTGTGGTTCCAATTCATTCTTACTTTAATCATACATTCCAAATTTTATACCAACTGAATAATTCCATTTTTCTTAATAATTGTGCCACTTCCTCATGCCTCAACCTTAGCGACAAAGAGGTAGTAATATTTAATGAGTTTTTCCTAAAAAATGCAAATTAGAGAAGTGACCTTTTGATGTTGGTGAGCAACACTTGATGAGGAAGATGACTTAGCCAACAAATGCCCAGAACCAGAACTTGTATGTATAGTCCTAGTAACACCGCCAACCTTAAGTTTTACTTTCTTGACTTGACTTTCAACTCCGTGCAACAATGCTCCTGATTGTCCAGATTGGAAATCACTTCCTATCTTTCCAAATGTTTCCAAATTGCTCACAGTAGCAGCTGCTAAATTATCTTTAATTCCTATGCTGGGATAGACATCACTTATGGAATGAAATTGATGGGTTTTTTTGCCACCAGCATTCTGGTAATATTCAGTTTCATCGAGGTTAGAGTATGTTAACCCTGAAATAGCATCAAAGTTGTCACCACTTGATGCTTTGCTCTGACTAGTTGAGGGCAGCATAGATGACATAGAAGTGCTAGCATAGACATCTGGAGGTGAATGAGACTCATTTTGAGGACGGCGATATAGATTGCTTCTTTTTCTTCTACAAGGTTTTCCCTCTACACTGTCTATGGCCCCTTCTGAGTTATTATCCATACTGCTAGAAGATGTTTACCAAAACCTTTTAAATCTGAAAAGTGATTCAAATATGAATGTAAGAACCAACCAAGAAAATGTACACAAAATAAAAAATAATAAGCAGATCAAATATGTGACATAAAATGGTGAATATTATATGAATTCACATTCCATGTGTGCACATGTCATAATAAATTTGGTCGATGGTCTTTTATGGAGTTCTCCCCGGAAATAGCAGTATAGCAATTTGAGGTAAGATAATTTCCTATAGAGTTATGTGCACTGAAGCATAAATGGCAAGTGGTTGGTATCCTTGAAAGTGTAAATAAACTCCATACAAATCATTTTGAGTGTATGAATACTCAAGTTTTCCATGAAGTATATTATTGAATGTGGAGTATGTGACCTTGCCTTTCTCCTGAAAAAAGTTGTAATCCTATCATTCCTATGGAGTAGGGAAACCAAATCTATCACCTCACCCATCATACTATTTCCCATTCTACCAAGATTTCTTTTAACCCGGAAGAAGAATTATCTAAGCTCATCTACTCTTTTAGGAGGTCTTTTTGCGGAAAAGATACACCTCTAAGCCTCATTGTGCGGGCATACATATATCATCCAAATAAAATAACGTAAGTGTAGTGCCCTGCATAATCCCATGATTCTAAAACAAACCATTCAAGTGCAACTATATGAAATACAGTGTTAAAAGCTAAATTGTGAAAAGGTCGCATAAGAGGGGACAGCAACAACAACAACAACAACCAAGTCTGCCAAAAGAATTTGGGGTCGGCTACCCCAAAATAATAGAGTAAATTCATATTCCAAAAAATCATATTCTAATTGGGCACCAACATAATAATTTTCTAAACATGATAGGCCAGTCGTCACTACCATAGCATTGACAAATCCTCCCGGATCCATATAAACAAGAGCAGTTAGTCAGTAACCACAGCAAAAATACAATCATTTCTAGCAACCCCGCGAACTAAAAAAATCAAACGATATAGTATAATTCCAACTGTAGTATCGTACATGGCCATCATCAAAACGCAGAAATGCAAATTTCAGAGAAGACTTGTATAACGACGAATTTCGGTATGGGCATCTAAAAAAAACCTAGCAGTGGCAAAGAGAAAAGATGTAGTCGAGAAAAAAAGCTATAATTAAAATATTAAATATTCCGTACTACTGTATGCCTTCCCGTGCACTCGTGCAGAAGCTCGAGCATGGAGGCTGAGAGCCTGAGACAGTGAGACTAGCCGGCAATTAAAATTCCGTACTACTGTACAGTGAGATAAGTGCAAAGTACGCGAGAAATAAGACAATAGGGCAGAACCACAAATTAGTTGATTTAATAGGAAAGTGTCAAAGTTTTTTAGGACAATTAAAAAAGAAAGATTTCAAAGTCCAATGGAACGGAGGGAGTAATAAAGTAGAATGAGTAAGGGCGTGCAATGGCTGAAAAGTCTTAGGGAAATTCCTAAAATGGGACTAAAACAATTTGGAAATTCCAAAATAGAAATGTCATGTTTTTATTTCCAAAATAAGACTAATTGCTGCCATGTTTAGAAAATACTGTCATGTTTGAAGTCTGATACTGTCAAAACATGGCAGTAATTAGTCATGTTTTGGAAATAAAAACATGACAGTACTATTTTGAAATTTTCAAACTGTTTTAGTCATATTTCGGGCAATATTCTCAAAGCGTTATTGCTATAGGGAAAGTGTTTGGTGACATGTGAGTGAAAGGACCGATTAATTAAATGTCTTTTTCAATACATTTGATTACAATGCACCCCTTACCACCTAACTCCTTATCCGGCCTCAAAATATTTCGTATAGTTTTTTTAGTTTTTTCGGATTAATGTTAATTAATTAAATTATTACAGAATTAATGATGGGTTAAAACTATTAACCAATATATTGATGGGCTTAACTCTGGTCGGGGAAAGTCGTCAAACAGTTTGGCGACTTATAACTTTATAAGTCGCCAAACGGTTTGGCGACTTATAAGTCGTCATCCACTTTGGCGACTTATAAGTCGCCAAACCATTTGGCGACTTTCCTTGTAAATAAACTTCGCAAAACGAACTTAGACAGAAAGAACGAGTGCAACAACCAAAACAGCTCCGGCAAAGATCGATTTCAGCATCCAAATTCGACAACTACAACGACTAGAAGGCTATTCCACCTATAAAGGATACTCCTCAACCATTTTCTTCAACCTCTTCAACTCTAGGTAAATCAAATCCCCAACTTCATCTCATTTTTGAACTTAGGGTTTGCAATCGATAATTTCAAATTTGTAAATTAGGATATGTGCCGAGAGCACCTCCGTAGTTTGTCCCACGTGCAGGTGGATGATAGAGTATTAGCATATGTTAGAGCAACAGGTTTTTATGGTCTTCACAGATTGGTGGCTACTGTCACATTTGATAGAGCGCTACTCACTGCTCTTCTTGAGCGTTGGAGGCAGGAGACACACACATTTCACCTCCCAGTTGGTGAGGTGACAGTGACCTTGGGGGATGTGGCTGTATTGACGGGGTTACAGGTCTACGGGAGAGCAGTTACAAGTACTGCGTGTCGGCCATGGGTTGAGGATGTTGAGCGCTTGTTGGGTGTTCGCCCACTTCTTCGAATAGAGATTCATGGGTCATCTCTGAAGATGTCATGGTTGAGGGAGCATTTCGTTGTTCTTCATACGGATGCTGATGAGGTGATAATTCAGCCGCATGCACGAGCATACATTTTGATGCTTATGGGAGCTTCTATTTTTGCTGACAAGAGTGGAAATGAGGTTCAGGTGCTACTAGAGAGATTTGATGTACTTGCACACTTCAGTTGGGGTAGTGCCACGTTGGCTTATCTGTATAGTCAGTTGTGTCGCGGTTGTCCGGAGTGGGAGCAAGGAGGTTGGGGGTTTCTGATTCTATTGCAAATTTGGTCATGGGAGTACATTCACATTGGTCGTTCCATTATAGTACGATACCTGGGCTTGATGGAGAACCACTTCATGATCAGCCTCCACATCTTCTTAGGCTTTTGTTTTTGTTCAGTGTTTCTGACTAGGATTTGTGAAAATGTGTTATGTTTTCATTTGTTTTCTGAAGATTCTGGTTTTGCAGGTGCGGGGAGAAGTCGCCAAACGGTTTGGGGACTTATAAGGGCCTGTTTGGATGGAGTGTTTGGAAGTGTTAGTAATGAAAGTGTTAGTAAGTGTTAGTAAGGGCATAAAAGGGAAGGGAAGTGTAAGTGTTAGACATAATTTTACCTTGTTTGGGAGAGTCAAATGAATGAAGTGTTAATAATGGAAGTGTTAATAATTTTACCTTGAGCCAAAAGAAACGAGTAAGGAGAAGAGATGAAAAAGGCAGACCATCAGACATGCGGCAAAGAGATTCGAAGTGAGATGTCGAAGCATTTTATGTTTTTAGGGTAAATGAGAAGGGTAATAATTATCCAACACCTCAAAACACTCCAAATCGGGGTGTTAAAAAAGTGGACAATTGAGGTGTTGGGAAGGTTATTATTAACACTTCCTAACCTTTACTAACACTTCTTAACACCTCTTAATTTTTCTCCCAAACAAGCGTTAGTATCAACACTTACTAACACTTCCATTACTAACACTTCTTAACACTCAATCCAAACAGGCCATAAGTCGTCATCCGGTTTGGCGACTTTCCCCGACCAGAGTTTAAGCTCAGCAGTATATTGGTAAATAGTTTTAACCCAACATTAATTCCGTAATTATTTAATTATTTAACATTAATCCGGAAAAAATCTCTAATTTTTTTTAAAAAAAAAGTTATTTATATTGAATAATCAGGATTCAGGTAAGATACTACGTATGATTAAATGTGATAATTTTATCATTCATGTTTGTTAATGTATATGTATTTTATATACACAAAAATACAATATTATTTATCATATATATGTAAAAATATAGATAAAAATACAATTATATGTCTCTGACTAGTCCCCGACTAGGCGTCCACCTAGCCGCCTAGGCGCTAGGCGTTGGGCTAGCGCCCGACTAGAGCCTAGCGCCTTTTAGAACATTGGTCTTAATTAATAATAAAATCATAAAAAATAATAAAAAACGTAAAAAATAATAAAAATTATAAAATAAAAAACTAAAAAAATTAAAATTAAAAAATAAAATTAGAAACGTAAAAAAATGGCTTTGCCTCTGCCACCCCAGCATCACCAGCTCCCATCATCGGTTGAAAATCTGCCAACATTTTTAGTAATGTCATAATAATGGCAGATTCAGTGAGAATTTTGACATTATGAAGAGTAATCAAGTCATTTTCTTGGCATTTTCAAAAACAGTGACATTTTTTTACAAAAAATGACAGAATTTTCACCAATAGGAGGTGGTGGTGCTGGGAGGCGTTGGGAAAGGTATCATATTTTTTTATGTTTTTTACTATTTTTTATTAATTAAAAAATCAAAAAAAAAAATTGTTTTATTTTATAAATATTTTTTAGTATTTTTTACGATTTTTTAATATTTTTAAGATCTTATTATGAATTGAAACATTTCATTATGAATTGATACCCTTAGAGGTATTATGGTAGAAATCAATGTTTAGTCCTATTGGGGAGGATTTAAAATGTAGTAGTCCTGTTTCTGCATTTTAGAGAATCTTTAGGATGTTTTTACTTGGACTGTAATTCGTCCCAGACCAGACCAGACCAGTTCAGACCCGATCAGACCAGACCAGACTTGGATAGTTATAAAAATGCAAAGAAACCAGACAAGACCAGACCAGACCAGATCAGACAAACCAGACCAGACCAGACCAGCAAATTACAGTCCAAGTAAAAACATCCTTAGTCCTACCTAATACCTAGAGCATTTTCTATACATTTTTTTCTTTACCATATTATTTATCAAAAGGGGAAAGAGGATTTTTTTTGAGACACTCAAAAGGGAAATTTGAAAGTTTATTCGGGATTGGAAGGAGCGATAATAAATCTCAACCATGTGGATGGTGTGAAATTGTGGATGTGTGATAGTGGTGACGGGTGAGTAGGCCTATCTCCGGATTTAACATATGATTGGATTCGATCATTTTTGAAACAATTTTGCTATAGGTACCCCATAGTTACCCCATTTCCTACCCCATATAAATACCCTCCCAAAAATTTACCCCCATTCCCTCATCTTCCTTCCCCCTCATCTCCCTTTCATCTCTCTCTTTTCTAGTCAGCCCTTCTCCCTTTCATCTCCCTTTCATTTCCCTCAGTTAAGCCCCCCTGCTTGGTTACGGCGAACACCCAAGCAGGTCCGGTGGCAAGCCGGTCATCTTCTCCGGCAACACCTGACCGCCGTCCCAGTAATTTCAGTACCGACCAGATTTAAAAACCTTCCACACCTTCTGCACCAACTTGTAATTTCAGTTCAAAACCTTCAAATTCCAGCGAACATAACTTCGAAACATACATGTGATGGTTCAGATCTGTTAGCGTTGGTTCAGATCTGTTAGCTTCAAAATTTAGTGAAAAGAGGGGAGCGAGCGGCGACTGGACGGAAAGAGGAGCTAGCGGCTGGAGCAGCTGAGCCCTCGCACGCCATGGTCTTTTTTCCTCATTTTTTGGTATTATTTTTTCCAACTCCACATGAAAAACAGCTGATAATAATTGCAGCGTCTGTCTAGCTGAGCATAGTTTCACAATTGGTGGAATCTTACATAAGATGTCTGTCTGGAAAGAGCTGCTGCACATGTGAAGAAACAAGGCAGCCTCATTTGCCCCATTTGCTGCTCAACTTGGAAAGAGTTGCCTGTGTTTGAAGATTCTCGAAGTTGAATGCTCTCATAGTTTTTTTGTTGTATTTTTGTTTGTTGAAAATTGGTTTGTAGTTGTCTGTGAAGTGAAAAGAGTTGTCTGGCATTCCATTTGATTTGTCTGTAATGTGAAGATAGTTGTCTTTCTGGTGAGATTGTGAAGTAGTTGTGTATATTTAGATTGCTTTGTGATGATATTGAGATGTCTGGCAAGGCATATTAGTTGTCTGGCACGTTAAATCCAATTGTTTAAAATTGGTTTGTAGTTGTCTGTCATGTGAAAGTAGTTGTCTGACATTCCATTTGAGTTGTCCGTCAATTTATTGCAACAAATTATTTGTTGTGAATAGATAAACAATACATATATCTAGACAGACATTAGAGATAATCATACATACATTATTTTCACGTAGAAAGATAATAACTTTACACATACAGACAATACCATAGATACCCAGACATAGAGTACTTAATTGGCCCAGACTACTAATGTCTGGCCCAGACAAAATTTGTCTGGCTATACGACAAAG